CACACACTCCTCGCTCCCCCTGACCAGCCTGCTACCCCCGACAGAGGAGAGAGGCCACCAAGTGCAGGCGCCCAGGACGTGACTGGGGTGAGGTCACGACACGGGGACTTCTCTGTCCCGAGCACACGCCATGCACTTAACGCATCTGCCTCTGGGGACGGGACTCTGGCAGGTCAGCTTTCTAGCGGCTCCACTGCTGTCTGTGGAAGCGGCTGACGGTCCCGTTGGCGGCCTGGCTTCTATACCTGGGGGGGGGGGGCTCCCCAAGTCCGCGCGGCCGCTGGTTCTCCCCACAATGACAGCGGCTCTTCGTGTCACCCGCCCCTTCCCGCCGGCTCTGCAGGGCCACGGCCAGGCGCTGGCCCTCATCCGTTCCACGCCCCCCGACGCCCGCAGGGTGCCGGCCTGGCCCGAGGCCACCGTGCTCCCCCCAGCAGACCGGACCCTTCCCCGGAGGAGCTCACACATTGCCACGGACCGAACTGTGTCCCCCCAATTCAGTTGTGGGAGTCCCGACACCCAGCGCGATTGTGTTTTGAGCGCGGGCTTTTAGGAGGTCCGATGCGGTCCTAGAGGTCAGGGTCCTAATCTGGTAAGACGGTGGCCTTACACAGCTGAGAGAGAGAGAGTGCGGTCTCACTTTGCACGCGCGCACGCCAGGCACGGCCCCCCCGACACGGTGACCGTCTGCACCCCAGGAAGAGGCCCCACCAAACACAACCCCGCCGGATCTTCCCCGGGACCTCCAGCTTCCAGAACGTCCCTGCGGGTGGCTGGCTCAGTCACCCCAGCAGACTGGGACACGCACATGCGCAGCAACGGGGACGCAGCAGCGCAGCCGGCGAGGCCTGAGCGCCCCGGCCCGGCCCCAGGCTAGGACACAGCTTATCCTCAAGTTCCAGACCTGTGTCCCCTTACTGCTGCTTCCCCGAAAGCCCTGACTGAGGTGCTGACTCCCGGGTCCTGCGTCTGGACTGTGGCGTCTGGCAGGACTCTCCTCCATTCGGATCTGCCACCCCGCGATCCCAAAGACCCGCGCTGCGCGAAGGCTGCCAGGCAGCCCAGCAGCCACGTCCCAGGAGGCTCAGTCCCCCTCAGAATGCCCTGACTCCGACCCAAGTTCACAGCCAGGCTCCCCGAGTGGCGGCGGATGGAGCCTTGGCTGGTGCGGGCCGGCGCTCACGGACGGCTCGTGACGTGGGGGCCCCCGGGTGGGCCTCCGGGAGGGCCAGCCCCCAGCTCCCGCCACACCGGACTCCGCGGCACGCTCTCCTGGGTGTCGTGTCCTCGCTCTGAAATGGAGCTGGAGGGAGCGTGCACCTGCCTGGTAATTAAGGTTAATGAGCACACTCCATCTGGCAGGCGGGAGGGCGAATCCGGCTTTCCGAGTGCACATCCTTGGCGTTCGTCCCAGCTGGAAGGCTCCAGAGAATGGGGATAATCTTCTGGGGCGTGTTGCAAGGTTACAGAGCCCGGCCCCGGCCCCAGAACGGACAGAGGTGCCCGGAGGGAAGCTCTCTGGGGTCTATGCCGGGGTCTGAGGGCGACGCGAGGCCGACCCTGGGCCTGGGGCTGCAGAGTCCGTGCAGAGGCCAGACCGAGACCTGCTGTGCCTTCCTCCCCGGGCGCCACCCGGAGCCCATGCACGGGCCTGGCGGGGTCAGAAGGCGGGCTCGCTCCAGGGTCCGCGGCCCCTGCTCCTGAGACCCAGAAAACTCCTTCTCCCCACACTCCAGGCTCCTCTATGGGAAATGGATGTGTTTTCAGGGCACAGTACGAGGAACTCGGGGATTTCCGCAGACCCGGAAGCGCGGCCCACACTCGGGGTGGCGTCCCTGCGGGGTGAGTGGGTCCAGGAGAAGGTGTGTTTCTGGGGAAAATGACAAAGCAAATACACTCAGGTAACAGACACAAACTCTGCGTGACGGGGATGCAGGCACTAATTCTAACTTCGTGTGTGCTTTTCTTAACTCTCCCTGACAGGTAAACAGGGGCAGGTCTGGGCCGCGTGGTGAGTAGGGCACTGACCGACCACCCCCCATGTGCATCCAGGTTTAACTTTAAAGGCTCTTTTCACTCCATATAAATTCCATCCTATTTGAAGGATCGGTCCTCAACTCTTTCACTTACCCACATTTTTTAGACCTCATTTGTGTGTGTGTGTGTGCGCGTGCACGCGCACGCACTCGTCTTTTTAACAGCCTCAGAGTATTTGCTGACACGGATACGGACCTGACAGCGTCCCCCGCTCCGGTACTGACACTCGGTCTGTTGTCACTTTTTTACCGGCACAACGTTGCCCGAATGAACGTCTTTTGGAATCCCAGCAAAGGAACGGAACTCTGACCAGACACGTGCGTTCTCACCGCCAGGCCAGGCTTCCACAGAGCCGCGAGGGGCTGTCCGCTAACGACCAGAGTGCGCAGGTTTCCTGCCTTGCAGAGAGTCAAACATCAGCTGCTGAATAATTCCCAGCAGTTCACCGCACACACTGTCCGTCTGTCTCAGGCGCTGGGAAGGGACGCTAGGACTCAAGGCGTGCCAAGAAGCAGCCCGGGAAACTGGCTTCTAGATCGGAGCCCCGGAGCACAAGACCGCAGAAGTGTTGCAGGAGCAGAGTGGCCGCTAGCCTGGCTAACAAGAGGTGAACCCCACCCGAGTGAGCTCAGCTTCACACTGGATTAGCTCACCTGCCTAAATCCTAGCTGCTTCCCAGGGCACGCCGTGAGCCTGGGGACATGACAAGTGTCCTATCTGTGCTGGGCATATTCGTGAAACTGTTATCAGGTGGATCAAGAAATCGACAGGGGTGCCTGGGGGGCTCAGTCGATTTCAGCTCAGGTCTTGATCTCACGCTTCGTGAGAGAAAGAGGGTGGAAACGGTAATGAGCTCCCGAGTTCCTCCATCTGTAATAGCCAGGAATAAAAAGGTATTTAACGTTGGCAGTTCAGTTACAGAAACGCAAGCACAGCTAAGAGCAAAGAAACAACCCAACGCTAACACTAGTGACTAAAATCAGGCGGTGGAAGAGAACAGAGAAATAGGAGTGGGAATCAGGGATAAAGGAAGAGTCACAAACAAATCGAAAATAAAAATCAAATGAACAAATACAATATTCATCTCAACTCGGTGCTTCCAAGGTCAAAAAAGAGACCAAAAATCCAAGAGAAAAATGGATAGCAGGTATCAACAGGCTAGAATAGCAGCGACCCAGCAATTCAGCTCTGGATTCTGCACCACGAGGAACCAACGCAGGGTCTCCAGGGGGTATGTGCACACACAGGCAGCACTGTCCACATGGACGGAAGCAACCCAACCACCCGTCTGTGGAGGAATGGAGTGCAATACTGCCCAGCCTTACGAGGAAGGAAGTCCTGACCGCCGTTACCGCCTGGAGGACATGATGCTGAGTGAAGTGAGCCGGCCAGAAAGGGACAGGGACCGCAGGATCCACTCACCTGAGGTCCCGAGAGGAGTCACGTGCCCGGAGACAGACCAGGAGGGGGTGGGTGCCAGGGGCCGGCTGTGTAAAGGTGACCGAGTTTCAGTTTTGCAGGATGAGAGGTCAGCAGACGGACGGTGGGGATGGTGGCCCAACACCGTGAATGTCCTTAGTGCCCCCGAAATGCACACCGAACGATGGTCACTGCAGTAAATGTTACCTGATGTATATTTTACAAAAAGCTCTGTGCTGACAGCTCAGAGCCTGGAGCTGCTTCGGGTTCTGTGTCTCCCTCTCTCTGCCCCTCCCCTGCTTGCACTCTGTCTCTGTCTCTGAAAAATAAATACTAAAAAAAATTTTTTAGAGTCAGACGCTTAACCGACTGAGCTGCCCAGGCGCCCCTAAAACACTATAGCTTTTAAAAGGAGAGAAAAAGCAGCATTAAAGTGTTTGGCCCCAGTACCGAGCCTCGAAAGGGGCCCCCAGGCCAGTCTCTCTGTGTCTTGTGGAGTAACGGGCCCTCACCTATTCTGTTGCAGCCGCCGCCGCCCACACAGGGGCCTGCTCCTGAGCGAAAGGCCACCGCTGTCACTGGCTCCTGCGGTCACTGGCAGCCACGCCCCTCACCCCAGCCCTCCGGAGTAGCCCCACCCAGAGTTCGGGCCCACCCGGCTGCCCTTCTGACGGGGTGACCACTCCGACCAGCAGGTCAGTGCCCTCTGGGGACGGGGGAAGGGAGACAAGGTGTGAGCAAGGGAGACGCGTGGTCACTGGGTGACGGATATGCTGGGCCCCTCGGCCCGAGGTTCGCCTCCGTGTCGGCCTGAAGTCCAGAGGGACGGGGGACGGGTCCCCACTTCGCCTCCGCCAGCAGAGGGAGAGGCCTGTGGAGGTCAAGTGTGCAGAGACAGCAGCCCTGCGCAGGGAGCCCCCTTTCATCAGAGCGCGGCCTCCCGCCCAGGGGCCCAGGGACCACGGAGTGCACCCCCCAACCCAGGACAAGGCCTGGCCCGCACTGGCCTCATCGCTGCCGCAGCAGGGAGGGGCAGGCGTGCGCGACAGTCATCTTGGGTTCCCCACAAGGCGGGTCCCTGTCCCTCAGTGGGGGGGGTGACACAGGCCCTCCACGGGTCCCCCGTTCGATGCAGGGGCTCTCGTGCAGTCCGTCCATATGTTCCGTTCAACATTCGCTTCTGTAACGCTCTGATGACCCGGGGTTGGCGCTGGGCAGACCCGGGGGTCCCGGCAGGTGGGGGCAAGTGCGGGAGCCCCATCCCTGGTCACCCGGCGGCACTGGCTGCCACAGACCTCGGTCGCCCACGAGGTTGGGGACCGGGTCCCTGAAAGGGCTGCATGTGACCCTGGCCCTTCTCACCCTCAGGAGGGGCCGGGCAGCAGGCGGTCCCTCTGGGGGCACTACGCTGACCCCAGGCCTGACTGTGGCCCCTCCTCCCCATTGACCGCTTCTCCCCGCCTCCCCGCAGCCCCGCCTTCCCACAGCCCCGCCTCCCAGTAGCCCCGCCTCCCCGCAGCCCCGCCTCCCCGCAGCCCCGCCTCCCCGCAGCCCCGCCTCCCCGCAGGGGTGGAAGATGGTACCCGTGGACCCCGCGCTGGAGGAGGAGCACGCAGCCGCAGCCCAGACATGGAGGAGCCCACGCCCGAGCCCGTCTACGTGGACGTGGACAAAGGGCTGACCCTGGCCTGCTTCGTCTTCCTCTGCCTCTTCCTCGTGGTCATGATCATTCGCTGCGCCAAGGTCATCATGGACCCGTACAGCGCCATCCCCACATCCACCTGGGAGGAGCAGCACCTGGATGACTGAGGCGCGCGGGGCGGGGGACCCCGTGTCCCCGGTCCCCGCCCGTGAGCGCCGACCGGGATGGAGGAGGCTCCCCAGGGCCTCGCCTGCTCCCCCCGGAGCCCCAGAGGGGGTGCACGGGGCGCCGCGGGGGCTGGACACGACGACGGCCCCGGCCCCGGGGGCCCGCGGACGCCCCTCGGGCAGGGGGACTCACTGCGGGATGACGGCGTGGCCCCCGCCCCGGGCCCCTGCGCACCTTCTGGGATCGGATCCGGGGCAGACACGCAGCCTCACGCCACGGTGCCCTCGCTGTGAGGACACGGTCTGCCCTGAACGCGTGAAGCGGCGCACGCACGGGCCCCCAAGGCCGTGGGCGCCCGCTGACCCGAGCCGGCCGGTGGGCGCGCGGGGAGGCCGCGCTTCTCACAGCCACGGGGCTGCTTCCCAGCAGTTTTTTTTTTTTTTTCTTAAACTAAAATACAGAGGGGTCTGTTTTTCCTGTCATAAATGAAATATGCATTTTGGGAACTTGGGAAAACACAAAGAGAAGAAAAGGGGAAAATAACACAATCCCACCCCCCCAAAGCCATCATTTTGATATATTTCTCCCAGGCTTTTTTTACACGTCTTTTTAAATGGTCCCGTTGACCCTATGCACGATGCCGTGCCGCCTCCTCCCAGGAGGGTGCACTGGTGCCCCATCAGACGCCCCACCCGCGGTCCCCTGGGTGCAGAACCCCGGCCGGCGGGCAGGCCTCCTTCCCCCACGCATGGGGTCGTGCTTTGCTAACTCTTCCACGCACCATCTACAGGCCTTGTCCCCGGTCACCAAAGGCTGAATGGCCTGGAGCAAGTCGGGCCACTGCCCTGTGCCTCGGGCCCCCCGTGTCCTAATGGGGAGAGGAAGCCTCTGCGCTGTGTGTGAGCCTCCTGTGGTTGAAAGGGCAGGAGGGGCGCGTGCTGTGGGGTCAAGGAACAGGTTGCTGATGTGACTGTCCCCAGGGCCCCGCCACCCCTGTCTCTACGTCTATGACCTTGCAGCAAGAACACGGAGCCCGAAACGCTGGTCCCAAGTCCCGGCTCCTTTCCTTCCTCGCTATGTGACCCCAAACGACGCCGTTAGCCTCTCTGAGCCCCAGTTCCCTTCTCTGTAACACGAGGGAGTAACGTCTACCTCACAAGGTTGTTGTGAGGGCGGAATGGAGGAGCGTGGGCCGACGCCATGTCCTTCACCACCCCAGGAGGAGCTGGGGGCTGCGTAGGCTCTGGGCCCCCTCCCTGCAGAGCCTGGAGCCCTCAGCCTCCCGGGGCCACTCCCAAAGCCAAGTCTCCCGGCCAGGGCCCCCCGTCAGAGGGACACTCACAGCAACCTCTCCCAGCACCTGACCTCGAGGGACATGGTGTCTACTGATTCACATGATTGTCATTGTCATCTGTTTAAGCACACGCGGTATGAGGTTAGGCTAGACCGCCTGAAGCCCCTTCCTCCGAGGCATTTATGCCGTCCCTGCAAGGCGTGGCCGGCCACCCCCATGGGGACAGACCTGCCGCTGTGAAGAAAACCAACACTCCATTCCCTCACCTGCATCCCTGCCCTGGGCCCCACTGCAGCCCAGGCCACCTGGGAAACAGGTTTCCAAAGCACGCTTGCCACCAGGTGACCCCGGAAGTGAAAAAGGCCATCCATGGCTGTTCGGGCACATTCCAGGGCCTGTCCAGCTACCCCCCCCCCCACACACACATGCACACACACTCGCTATGTGGGATGCACAAAGGGACAGCTGGAAAAGGCAGTGAGCAAGACGCACCGGATGCTCTGTCTGAGAAGGTTCTAGAACAAGGACTTGTGCATTGCCTCAGGCCCAGCAGCAGCCTCCACCCTGCAGCCTACCTCAGAGACACCCAGCACTTCTGTGAAAAGCCCAGCAGCATTGATTCACAATGTGACTGAGAGCCACCCCCCTGTCAGTTAATAACAAAAGCCTAGGAATGAGGAAAGATCTGGAAGACCTCACCTGGGGACACTTGAGTTTCTCAGGGGTGAAGAAGAGGTGTCCTCGGGCCGTGCCACCCAACTGTGCGTCTGCAGAGGTGAGGAGCAGGTGGGGAGTTCAGAACTCTGGGCCCCACCCCCACCTGCAGGGCCAGCGTCCCTGGGGGGTGGCGCCAGGAATCTGGGGCAAGATCCACCGCGAGCCGGCTGTGCACACCAGAGTTTGAGAAGCATGGCCCCTGGGACCCCTCGGTCCCACGTCACTCTTTTCCACACTTAGATCTGCTGTATTTCCACCCTCTCTCTGACCTTTTTTTTTTTTCTTTTTTTTTGGTGGCAAGAGGGAATAATTTAGAAAAGATGAAAAATAAAATCACGCCCCATCCAAGCCTCCAGTCAAACAGTAATTTTTATCGTGTATCCATACGCCCCCCCCAATCCTTGCCCAAATGCAAGATATATTTTTTATCAATGTCATCAGTTGCATAATCTAAAATCCTGTTCTCTCCCAACATTACCTCGTGGCCCGTTTCTGCCACGCCTTCCCAGGCGCCATCGGAGCGGCCGCGACGTGCCGTCCAGCGCGTGTAACTTACCGTCCGTGCTCCGATTAGGAAGTACTCGGATTGCTCTCATTTTCCCTCTTCTGCACGTGTCAGAAGACAACAGAAGGATGGAGACCGAGGTGACGAACTCGGAGAGCTCGCTCGGGACAGCGGGGAGCGAACCTTTAAGCCACACCCCCTCCAGCTAAGAAGCCCGCGGGCCAGGGACACCCGTCTAAGCGGTCGGCTAGTTAAGGTGAGCCTTGGGGTTGCGGATGGAGAGACTCTGTCCAGCAGAGGAAACAAGCAGCGGTATTGAAGACTGGAAGCTGGCAGAGAGGAGAGGCAGGCCTGTGACGTGGGCCACAGCCCGAGGCTAAAGGGACACTGTGACCAGAGAGAAGCTCCCACTGCACAGAATGGGTGACGGGTGTTCCGGGCAGAGGGGCCTTCTCGCCGCCTGCCCTGGGCTCTGCTGCAGCCCCTTCCTGTTACTCAAACCCCCAGTAAAGTCATACACAGCCCCCTCCGTGCCGGCGGTGCTGGGGACGGTGACGGCAGCTGCGCGGTGGCAGTGCGAGGGAACACCGTCTGCAAAGGGGCAGGTGGGGCGGAAGCAGGAGACAGAATGACAGGGACGCGCCCCTGGGGACACACGGAGGGCCGGCGGGGCGAGGGGCCACGAGCTTCACTGGCCTGCAGTGTCCGTTCCTTCGTTTCTATTCCATCGTTTCCAACTATGCTCGAGCCCACGTGGTTTTACGGAACTGGAAGACGCGGGTCTCCCTCGCCCGTGACGTTGCTCCAGACCTCGAGGCCCAACCTGCACGGACCCGTCTGCTTCCAGGCAGCAGCTGGAGAGGGCTGCAGGCCCCGTGTGGCCTCACGCCCCCGGTCTCACCGCCGAGGACGGGTCCCGCCTGGGGTGGGGGACAGCCTGCGGGGGGCCCGCGGCCCGGACTGCGGCCAGGCGCTCTCACCGAGCTCCCTGGGCCCCCATCTGCATTTCCAGACATTCTGTCCAAACTCAGGGCGTCTGCGTCCAGGGGGCAGACAGCCTCAGCCATGCCAGCCCTCCCCCTTGACAGTCACCAGCTAAGCGTCCCCTCCCTCCCGAGGGGTTTCTGCTGGGACCTGAATCAGTCAGCATCCCGGCAGGAAAGAGGGAAACCCAGAGCGTTTATGCTTCGAGGGCTCCACGAAAGAATACTTAGAGGTCAGGGAGGGTTGAGGGAGACAGCACGGGATGGAAAAGCACCACACGGGCCGCGGTGTGAAGCCGCGACCAGCTTGGCCTGACGTGCAAGGAGAATGTATGTTCTGGAACCCAGTAGGAGCCGCGGCCACAGGGAGACGGTTACAGGGAGACGGCTAAAACTCGTGCCCCAACTGCAGCCCAGCAGGAATGACGTGGGGGAAACATACACCCTGATGTCTCAAGTCCAGCCCCCTCTGGTCTCTCTCTGGATCGAACATCAGCCCAAAGCAACAGAACCCAGTGGCCAGGGCGTCCTGGGCGAAGCGGTTTGTATACGTTAGCATCTGGAGCAAAGGAAATATAACGAGTACAACCCACCCCTATTAGCACTCGGTATCTGTTCATGAACTTCGCTTGGATGGGGAAAAATCACATGCCCTCCATGTAGGGGAAACAGAGGTCTATCGACCTCCATATTGTCCGGGGTTGGGGAGGGGCGATATCCACCTGGTCCCACTGCCTGCCAGGCCCGTGTCATTTTCCAGCACCTTCTCCACGTCCCCTCCACCTCCTGTGTTCCCTTGGCTCTCGGGAGCCATCGGGTGGAATGTGCAGTCTTCACCTGTGGTCGACCCAGATTCCTGGTGCCCTGTCTTCTTCGGGTCGCCGGCCGCTACAGGCCCACAGAGAATGTGAGAGGGTCTGAGGCCTCGCATGGGGGATGCTCAGAATCTGCTAGGGCCGCCCTGCTCGAACCGAGCTCTCAGGACGGAGAATGTCAGCCTCGCCCGGGAGTCTGTTAGGAACCTGAGACCACGCCCCCACCTCAGGCCTGCAGAAGCGTGGGGCACGGGATGGGGGTCCCCAGGGAACCAGTCCTTCTGGCCCCCGCTTTGTGGAAGGAGCCCCCCTTCCCACGGCTAGTGGATGGGCCACCCGCAGTGAGCTCTCCTCTGCCGCCATGCTCAGTATGAGGAGACCCCGATGGTCACAGAGGCATCTCAGCTTTAACCTGACAGACCCACACCTGAGAACCCCCGGGGGAGGGGCAGAGAGACGGAGACACAGAATCTGAAGCAGCTCCAGGCTCCAGGCTGTCAGCACAGAGCCCGACGTGGGGCTTGAACCCAGAAACCGCGAGATCATGACCTGAGCCAGAGTCAGACAGTTAACTGACGGAGCCCCCCAGGTGCAGAAATTCCGTACGGGGGTCATTAGGTCGAAGAGTGGGGGGATTCACTTCTGCCCCCATCCCTTGGCTCCCGGACCAGGACCTTCCAGGTGG